TTGTCAGGGGTCCAATGTGGCATGGATGTGGTAAAGGAGGGGAACTTAGACCAGAATGTTCCAAACCAAATCTTGGTGGGCCATCAAGAACAACGCGGAATAAGCGTTCTTCTGGATATACAACCAAGCCTGGCATAGTAAAACCTTGGCTTGATTCATTTCTCCAGCTGTAGGAAGATACATCGGATGTGAAGCCATTGATTGAAAAAACAATCATAAAAGCATTTGGCGTTGCTATGGAGAACGATGATACTGCCTTAAAACCAGCCATACAATATGACGAGAAACAACAGATAAATGTTGGCCTTAAAAAGAGGTGACATTCCATTAGTCAACTCAAATCCAGATCCGAAAGCAGAATATCTGAAGGAAAACATTGTAACAGAAGCAAATGTTACTTACCTTTCCACTGCTGATAACAATGTGGCGATGCCCGTCAGTGTACGTTATAAGCCAAAGGCTGGAAAGAGCGGAGAAGAAATGAAACAGAGAGAGGCTGATAAACGCATCCAAGATTTATTGCCAGGCTCTGAAAGACGAGGGACGGGTAGATTCATGTGATGACAGCATTCATCTGGGAACTTCTCTGAACGGCGTTGGAATACTGCAGTTTGGTAATGTTGTATAGGATTATTTTTTTAAAAAAAAAACATTGTTTTACGATTCAAAAGAAAAGGTCGAAATTATTGCATCACAACAAATTGATAATATCGCATATAAAACAGACCAATATAAGGTATTCAGCAGCACATTTATGGTTTATGTCATGAACCCTTCCAGACAAAAACTACGTGTTTATTATTTTTCAGATTTCAGCACACTGTATTTACTGAGAAGACCGATTAGCACTGGAATACTTTCCTACTCTTCTCCGTGTCAAAATTGATTTTTTTCTCTGTTCATGCTATAGACATTTGCCAGACGTAGATGAGACTGCTTGTTCAACTATTTGTCTTCCGGAAGAGAACTGTGTGGCAGTTCAGTATATGCCCGGATGCTTGGAATACATCTCTGGAAAGGTTGCAAGCTATTTGGCATCAAAGGAAAAATACAAGTTATTTACGATAATGCAACACTAGCCAAAACGGTTGTGTTTCTGGCACAACTTCAAAGAGAAAAAAAATTATTTTGTATCACCTCAAAGTCAAAGCAAATCACGTCGTTGTGAATTCAAGGCCTCTAATAGTACACAGTGTGGTTCCTTTTGTGCACAAGATGCCTTCTGCCGGGCCTTTGTGATATGTAAACCTGACAGACGAAGTTGGTAGTCCAACACTAAGAGCAACTGCCTGTTGTACTCAAAACAGCAGACAACAGCTGCTGAAAAAGATATGCATTCTGCGATTTCACAAACAGGTTTTGCTTCCATTAATAAGAAAATGTAGTTATTACAAATTGTTTGAATATCCATGTTTAAAATAGGAGATGAAACTGATCTTTATACTAACGTAGTACAAATACAACATTGGTGGCTGGTTAAGGCGAAAATCAAATAACATCTCAAAGGCTAATAAAAAGTTAAAGGAAGTGTAATATTAATGGCCAGCTAGACATCTTGTGCCGGAAACTGAGATGAGTGTTTCGAAGATAGCAAAAACGGCAGTGGGGGAGGGGCATGGGGAGGGTTAAGAGAGCAAAGATCAATGTCCTGTGATTTGGAAAGGAAACCCGTGTGTCATTTTCAAACAAGATATTTACACATCATTTCATTTTTGTTTACTTTCACTAAGAGAAACATCACATCAGCTTCCCTTGCTTGTGCTGGACAGAAAGAGGACTCGGTTGACAGAGCAAATATCAGTGTCCTGTGATTTTGGAAAGGAAACTCCAGTATCGTTTTCATACAAGTTATTAACATATCATATTTCATTTTTGTTAACTTTCATTAACAGGTACGTTACATCAGCTTCCCTTGCTTGTGCTGGACAGAAAGAGGACTCGGTTGACACTTTGTTCCCGACAGCTGGGGTAATTTGTACCATGCCTTTATATAAGTATGCAACAAAGTTTCAGTGAAACCAAACCAGACAAACCATCAAGTCGCACATGCAAACATTAGCACTTAATCTAATGCGATGTCCCACTACCACGCCTGATATTGTCAGAAAGGGTAGGCCATAGCTTCCCACGCGGGCGTTTTTAGGGGAGCTGAAAGACGAGCTCCCCTACAAATGCCTGTGTGGGAGGCTAGGTAGGCCAGAACTGTGTAATTACTTATATCTTAGCAAGACATATTTGTCTTACAAGTTACCACCAATCGCGCTGACTACACGAAAGTAGCAGGTGTTTTAACCTAGGCAATGTTATTTCATGCACCAGTTACCTGCCAGAAACTAGTCTAGACCTTTCATTCAAAGATTTCAGTCAAAGAGCAAAGAACCAGACACTTGCATTACCTTTCACCTTTTGGCGATTCTTGTTCTTAATATTAGGGAAAACATTTCAAGAAATGGTAATAGTACAGACAATGTTACAGGGTCGCATCTACAAGAAAGGTCAGAAAGGAAGATATTAAAAAGAAGTAGACAAAATCCTGAAGAGCCTACTTGCTAGCATTTTAATAACACTGGTGGAGAAAAAAAACATAGGCTATTTTAAAAACAAAGCCTTTGCAATACTTGGTGAAGCATATTTCATGCTCCACAAGTGTAGGCATTCGAACAAAGCCGCTCTAGAATCCGAAGCAAGTAGAGAGCAAGAAGATGTAGAGCAAAGTTATGCAAAGGAACAAATTGGCGTGAAACCTGGTGAGACCAGGACGCTAGCGTTCCTTGAAACAAACTCAAGAACATGACGACAATAAGCTTCCCAGCAGCACCCCCTGAAGTAACAAAGTGAGAAACTTTTCCATTCATTGCATCACGAGGACCGTATAGCTGGATGTATGTGACCAGCGCATACAATGGCACGTGCGATCACCCAAGAAATTAACACAAGAATAAACAAGTATGGTACAAGTTTTGTGCAGCCTAGCCCTATTTTGCATTCCAAGACACCAGCGGTGCAGGGCCAGTTGCCGCAGTGTATGCAGTGGTTCAGCAACTCCTCGGGACAAAGCCTTGCATGCAGTTAAGTCCCCTCTGGCAAGTAAGAGTTTAAGTATACCAAGATTAGAGCCAGTGTCACCCACATGGCCTCAAATCTCGCAGCAGAGGTCAAACATGCTCTTCAAGGCCATCTTATCAGATCTGTATTTGTGTGATTGTAAATCAAAGCACACAATGACCTTGCTATACATTGTTGACCAGCATTTGAACCAAATTATGTGGAGCTGCAATTGTATTAATACAACAACATTTCACACCTCATGAAAGTCCTGGATATTTTTGTCTCTACTGAGAATGAACTTACAATAATTTGTTTCATGAATGAGACACTTATTTATCTTTTGGATGTCTTACACGAATTAATATTATTATTATTTGGCAGTGCTTTTAACGAAAGACTATAGGATGAGCACAAGAATTTAGTGCCATTCCAATTTGTCAAGTGTATAGGTCAAAATATTTGCCCTATCACTTCCTTTGGCAATAAATTACCAACAGCCAACACGATTTCCACAGTCGGTAAAAGCAAGGGCCCATATATATTAGAACCATAAAGAAACTGAGATTATCTGAAAGCTCTAATGATGTTGAAGATGAAGATGATAAGGACACAGAAGAACCCGCGGTAAAGACTGGTACTCTAAAGCGTGCCATTACATACATACTTTATTTAAGGTATCATAAGAAATAAACGACACAAATAATACCCTAAAAAGAAAGTTTAAGACGTTAATCCTATGTAAATTAACTTCCAAAAATAAAAACTAGAAATATATACTTATGACTAAAATCTAAGATCTAAGATGGATAAAAACCTAAGAAATACGCATGTACAATGTAAGAGCACTTGTGATTTTAAGTTGAGTCATTGAGTTGTTGTCGTTGTTGACCCTGTAAACCAGTCGTGAGATCGTGAGAGCTGTGACCTGTTGAGTTTGAACCTTTGAGAGTGATTCCAAGCCATTAAACCTATCAGTGGACCTGTGAGTATAATTTGCCTTGAATTATTCCTTTTCCTTTGTGACATTTGTGGGGAATCGATTCCTGGAGGCAAGCATTTCCCATAGCCAAGGTCTTTTACAGAACTCACCAAACGGCAACCTTTCTAGCTTCTGGAGGCGCCTTTCTGCAGCAACAGGCGATATCTTCACCTTCAGCCACGCAAGGTAGGCCTAATTTTATTGTGCCATCCTTTGTTGCCACTTTTGCAACCCCGCGCTCACCGATTTTAAGCACGTCAATCACGGCGGGCGCTTCTGTCCCGGTTCCACTCAGCAACAGCACCTTGGCTGCAAACCTGCCATCGGGACCGGTACTCCAACAGCCGTTTGTAGTTGGCCCCGGTTTTTCACCAATTCCAGCGAAAACAGTTAGCCAAATTGTTGCCGGCAAGTACGTGGATTTGGGGGATTTGCTGTCAGTCAGTCATCATTGTTCAGACTGAGCCGGAATCGCAAGCATTCCTGGACGGGCGGTTAGTGTTTTTGCCAAGCGCTAAAAAGCAACGCTGACGCATCGAGGACATCGTGACCTGGTCCAAACCTTTACAATTTTTACGCTGATTCTGACGTCGTATTTTCCGCACCGCTCGAAAGATTTAACTTCTTACAAGCTTCTCATCCAGTGCACGTATCGCCAGTTCAGTGGTCGTGTTTGGCTGGCATACGATCAGGCCTTCTGCCAGCACGCTGCGGCAACGAAGCTCGTGGACTGGTCGACCACGAACATTCAGCTTTACAATTTTCACGATGCTGGGGCCTCTGTGCGTTCTGGGTCTGGTGGTTCCTTGAGCGAGCTACCCGAACCATCTGGAGCTGACTCCTCCCAGGTCATTTGCCGGTCGTGGAACAGGGGCCACTGTTTGGCACAATTTGCTTCGTGTCGGTTTGCCTATCGCTGCAGCACCTGTGCAGGTTCCCACCGTGCGTCAGAATGCTCCCGTCGTTTTGACAAAACGTCGTCACACGATCGCAAATGCAGATCGGCTTCTCCTCCCTCCATGCCCTCGTTCACTTCCAAAACCAGGCGTTAATGGATGTACCTTGTTTGTTTTCCTGATTGTTTTTCTGCCTTGTTTTTTTTTTATCTGCGTTGATTGCCGTTAGTTTTTTCCTCCATGTTTCCTGACCTTTAGTCATCGAATTACGTTTTAAGTTGCATTACCTAATTTTTGTCAACAGTAGCTAGGTCGGGCCGTATTTGCTGCAATAAAGTTGTCAAATTGTTTGAGTTTTTGTGGTTTGTTGTTCAAAAGTTCTCTCTTTGGTTTGCCCTTCATCCCCTTCCCAGCCTGACTCGGCCTTATTTTAAAATAGCCTTTTTTCTTCCCAGCTCATCCAGTTCTCCCTCCTGTATCAGCAGTTAGTCCCCTTAAGGTGGAGGAGTTTTCAAAGGAATTGGCCAGTCATCCCGACCAGCAACAAGTTTCTTATGTCATCCAGGGTCTCCAGCATGGCTTTCGGTTAGGCTTCCACTCAGCTCACAAGCTTAAGCCAGCTAAAAGAAACAAGCCCTCTGCTCGTCACCATGCCCACATTGTTGATGCGTATCTGGCTAATGAAGTCTCTCTGGGCAGGGTTGCAGGCCCCTTCGCCTCCCCCTTTTCCTAGTTTGCATATTAGCAGTTTTGGGGTCATTCCTAAGAAGGGCCAGCCAGGCAAATGGCGCTTGATAGTCGATTTGTCGTCCCCAGGGGGTGCTAGTGTTAACGACGGCATTGATCCTCAGGATTTTTCTCTCCAGTATATTAAGGTTGATAAAGTTATTCGTATGGTCTCCCGTTATGGCCCAGGTGCCCTTATGGCAAAATTTGATGTGGAATCCGCTTATAGGAACATCCCAGTTCATCCGGATGACCGCTTCTTACTGGGCACGAGGTGGCGTGGTCAGTTCTACGTTGACTTCTCGCTTCCTTTCGGTCTCCGTTCTGCACCATTTATTTTCAATTCCGTAGCTGATATGGTTGAATGGATCCTTCTCCATAAGCATCGCCTTTCCGATCTGTTACATTATTTGGATGACTTTATTACTGCAGGTCCCCCACAGTCATTCCAGCGTGCTTATAATCTTAACACAGCAATCTCTGTTTGCCATCGCTTGGGCTTGCCTCTTCACGCTAACAAATGTGTGGGTCCAGCCACGTCTATGACTATCTTAGGAATTGAATTAGACTCCGTCAACCAAGTGGCCCGTCTTCCTGAGGATGAATTGGTTGCACTAAGGGAACTCATTAATTCGTGGATGCCTCGTCGCTGATGCAGAAAGCGGGAATTGGAGTCCCTTACTGGCCATTTACACCATGCTGCTTAAGTAGTTTGGCCAGGGAGAGCCTCTCTCCGTCGTTTTATTGATTTACTGTGCTACTTCTGTAACAAGGACCATCCTGTTCAGATTAACCAGGAATTTCGTCTTGATCTTCAGTGGTGGCAGCAGTTCCTAGCTTCTTGGCATGGCGTTGGGTTCTAGTTGTACCCTGGTATGTCTGCTGCCACAGATTTGGAGGTCACTTCGGATGCAGCAGGTGCGGTTGGCTTTGGCGCCTTTTCTCAAGGCCAGTGGTTTTATGGTGCCTGGTCAACAGTGCAGGCCAGGCAATCTATTGCATACCAGGAACTCTTTCCTGTGGTGATTGCTGCTCATCTTTGGGGATCCTTGTGGGCTAGGAAGCATGTCCTTTTTCGCTCAGATAACGAGGCTGTAGTTGCGATTCTCACGACCAGGACTTCGAAGGTTCCAGCTTAAATGCACCTTCTCCGTGATCTTTTGTTCTCGGCGGCACATTGGGGTTTTACTTTCACTGCTGCTCATGTTCCTGGAGTCGAGAACAAAATTGCTGATGCTATCTCTCGTTTCCGTTGGCAGGAGTTCAGGCAGCTGGCCCCGGAGGCTCATTCCTGCCCTTAACCGATTCCGCAGCTCCAGAACAGCGGTGCTTGCATCTCTTGGCCCAGGGTCTGGCTCCTTCCACCCGGACGGAAAGCTTATGCGTCAGGTCAACGCAAGTTCATCAAATTTTGCCGCCAAGCTGGAAAGTTCCACTCCCATGGCTCACCTTGCCCTGCAGACGAGTGGACTTTATGTTTGTTCATTTCATTTCTTGCAGAGTCGATTCACCATTCTTCAATTAAAGTTTATTTATCTGCAGTTCGCTCCTTGCACATTGAGAAAGGTTTTCATGACCCTCTGCTTAATTGCTTGCGGCTTCAACAGGTGTTGAGAGGGGTCAAGCGTTCTCAGGGTTCCCCGGCTGCTCAGCGCTTTCCGATTACTGACAGCCTTCTCTTGGTCATTCATTGGGCGTTGGACCTCAAGTTTTTCGATCATTGTGCCTTTTGGGCAGCCTGCATGCTGGGTTATTTTGGTTTTCTCCGTGCTGCTGAATTTACAGTCCCCAATTTAGCCAGCTTTTCTCCAGCTATTCATCTTTCAGTGGCTGACATCGCAGTGGATTCAC